GCGAGCCCAGGGGGCGAAGTGAGGAGGGGCGGGCCTTCCCAAAAGGCTCGGAAGTCCCCCGGCCTTCTGAGAAGTTTTCTAAGCCTTCACAGAAGGCTTCTCAGAAGGCGCGAGGGCCTCTGAGCAGTCCCGCCGCCTTCCGACAGGGCCTTCTCCTCCCCACGTCCCTCCCCTCGCTCGCCGCCGATTCCGGAGGCCTCCGGGGGACCCGCGGGCGGGCTCTGGCGCAGGCGCGTGGTCGGGGCCCCGCTGCTCTGGGCCGAGCTGGCCGCCTCGGGTGGGCCGCGCAGGCCGAGGACCTCGCGCGGCTGGCCCCGGCAGTGGGCGCGTGGCGTGGCACGGCAGGCACCTCCAGGGCACCTCCCCAGGGGACCCCCAGGGGACCCCCAGGGGAACCCCCAGGGGGACCTCATGGGGGCCTCGGGAGACCTCCAGAGGCCATCCGCCGGGAGCGTTCTGAAGGCCCCCGGGGACCTCCAGAGACCTCCAGGGACTCACGACGACCGCGGAAGGAGGGGGAACGGCCTCGAATGGAGAGGACCTCGGCACAGGGAGCTCAGCCCCTGGGATTGGCCTGCACACGCCCGCTTCATCGGCTCTGAGAGAGGACGGAATTTGAGAAACTCGTCAGGGTCAGCACCGAAAGCCGCCTTCTTACTCAAGACCGCGGGCGTAGCACGCATCATGGTTGCATCGCTGGTGCGAGATTACGCACATCAGCTGCGATCCGAATCGTGCGGATTTCCAAGAGGTCCCCCAATGGCCCCATTTTCAGTCCTGAGGGCTCCCCTGAGGTTCCAAAGGATACTGGAGCCACGAGAATGTCATAAGGAACTCCAAACTCCGGCGATTTCGGCCGAGCCCGCCTCCCCAGCGACGGCGAAGGTGGCGGCGTCGGCGACCACGGCGTCGACGTCGTCGTCGACGACAGAGGCAACAGCGACGACGACGACGACGACGACGACGAGGACGACGACGACGACAACAACAACGACGACGACGACGACGACGGCGCCGACGACGGCGACGGCGACGGCGACGGCGACGGCGAGCTCGCCTCCCCCGCGGCGGGCGGCGTCCACTCGGAGACCACCGGCACGGAGAGCTGCGCCAGCTGCAGCGTTAGCCGCCTGTACAGCTCGTTCCCCGCGATGAGCCGCGGCCCCGCTCGGTGCGGGGACTGGGTGTCAGCCAGGCCCACTCGTGCGAGGCGGGAATTATCCACATCCCCCGCCTGGGGAAACGACGTGCTGGACCCCAGCGAGCGGTGGACATTGATATATTTGGCCCCCAGGGGCCGAAATATTTCCATGCCCACCGCCCGCCGAGGTGTCCGAGACGATCCTCCGGGCAGTGGCTCTGTCTCAGTCCACGCCTCGGAGCTCAGGAATCCCACGCGACTCAGAGGACGACGATTAGCGACGAGGAGAACGCGAGGGAGAGGAGGAGGAGGAGGAGGAGGAGGAGGAGGAGGAGGAGGAGGAGGAGGAGGAGGAGGGGGAGGGGGAGGGGGAGGGGGAGGGGGGGACGACGACGACGAGCGACGACAACGAGCGACGCCGACGAGCGACGCCGACGAGCGACGGGGGAGCGAACGGCGAGGCGACGGGGGAGACGGCACCCGGGGCTGGCAGGGCCGGCGAGGCGCGCTGGGCTCTCGCGCCCGTGCGCCGGGGAGACTCGGCCCGCCCAGGCCCGCAGGCAGGGAGTGGTCGTCGTCGTCGTCGTCGTCGCCGCCGCCGTCGTCGTCGTCGTCGTCGCCGTCCTGGGCGGGGGGAGAGCTACCGCCAGAGTATGGCCATCTCCACAGCTCCTCGGGATCTCAGGGCACGGCTACGAAGCGGTGGATGTGGACATTTTGTGGCGGTGGAGGAGAATCGAGGATCTTGCCATCGCTCGGACATCCATTCCGCGCGCGTGTTTCGATGCCGCGCGTGGTTGCCTTGCTCGAGGCTCCAGGATGCTCCTCGATGGTCCTCGCCGAGAAAAGATGCACACGTCCGAGCGATGCCGAGGAATTGGAGGCCCCCGAACCTCCGACGCCGCGAATATGTTCGCAACGTCGGCCACCTGGGGTGCGAACCTCTTCCCCGAGACCAGGTTATCATCCAAAGCCGTTCTGTCTGGTATGGCCCAGAGGCAAAACAAACTGCCGCCGTGTTTTGTTTTCACTGCGAGAGCCAGAGGAGAAACAGAGAACACAAGATCACACCGCCACCGAGAACCCATCGGGAGGGGACCCACCCCTGGGCAGTGGCTCGCCTGAGCGTCGCCTGGTACAGGGTGACGCTCAGGCGAGCCACCGCCCAGGGGTCGATCCCCCCCGATTGGTTCTCGGTGGCGGTGTGATCTCTGCCTCTACTCTGAGAGAGGAAGACGGGGCTTGGGGCAATTTCATCCTTCGTGAGCCTGCGGTGAGGAGGGGGAGGAGGAAGAAAAGGAGGAGGAGGAGCAGCAGCAGCAGCAGCAGCAGCAGCTGGGGCAGGAGCCTGTCCTTGTTTCCTATATGAATGACAGGCCTTGTGAAGTGCACGCGCTACGCTGGACGCTCCGACTTAGTTCGGAGGCAGTGATGATCCTCATCCACAGGCCCCTCCTCCACTCCGCCGCTCATCCAAGATCCGCACCGCCACGATTGCGACGCAAAGCTCGTCTCGAAAAAACAGACAGGCACTATCTGAGCCATTGCGACCAAATACTTCGACCCATCGTCCCGAATCGGATCCCTCCCTGGGGTCGCGACCCCGAGCAAAGACAGACCGCCCGTGGCAATTTTCGCACGACGACATTCAGAGTTGTCACGTATACACTCCCGCTGGCCTCCGCAGAGGCCAGTGGGAAGGGAGCAGGGGAGGCGCCAGGGCGCTCTCGAGCACGGGCGCAGACCCTTCGAAAAGTGCCCGTGGACCAAAATACAAACGACCACACCCCGCCTGCGGCCCCTCGGGCCATAACAAATACCAGGAACTGCGGTTTGGGCTGCTGCATTGTATGCGCTACGACCCCCGATGAACCGTCGCGCGGCATGGAGGGCCGCAGGTGGGGTGGTGTCGTTTGTTTTGTTGGCCGACCCTCGACAGCACCCGCCGTCTGGGAATGACTACGCCTACCTCGTTCCCGCACGGTGCTGGCGCACATCGTGACGTCCCCCGGGCCCCATTCTCCCCCCCCCCTGGCGACGCCCGCTAGAACCCGAGAACAGAGAACTTGCTCGCGAGCGGCGCCACACAGCACAGTGCGGCCCCTGCGGCACCATCGGACTTCGAGGCTGAAACTACGTACGAGAACGGCGCCCACGCACCGCGCCATGTTGGGACACGCCTCAGGGGTCGCTCTAACGCGGTACGGTGCACTGCTTTTGCTGCTCTGAGGGCCGAAGGAACTGTGAACCGTTATCAGTCGCTGGCCGAGGATCGACGACGCCTCGGGAGACGCCAACGCGCTACGGTGCACACAAGTCGGGGCAGGGCGAATGGAGACCACGGCAGCTCAAAATCGGTCCACTCAGAATCGGCCCACGGACCCACGGACCCCGGCTGGGGTGCAAACGCACCAGTTCTCCGAAACGCGCCCGGCCGTGGCGACGAGGGCCATCCCCTAAGACCAACCACCGTTGTCTCCACTCGCCCTCCGCTGAACAAGTTGTTCGCGGATTCTACAGTCGGTCCTCGGACTCAGACGCTCGAGATTGGACGCCCGAAATGGGAACGGCCAAGATGGATACGTTACCCAACAGCGCATGCTGTCCAAAACCGACAGCGGGCGCTGTTGGGCAGGCGGCCTTCTGTCCAAAATGCCAACGTCCGCGGCGGCACCGACAGCGAGTTCTGTTCAAAATGTACTGTCGGTCTCCGTACTCTGGGTTTCTGTAAAAAGCGTGGGGGGGAGACCCCTCCGACGGGGGTCAACCTCGCCTCGTCGTCGCGCCGCGACGGGGGTCGGAGCGCCTTCGGCGCGCGGTGGCTGCCCGTGACGGGGGTCGATGTGGGGCTGTCGGCGGGGGTGACGCCCCCCCCGACGCTTATTAAGAAACAAGGAGTACACATTATTTCCATACATATTTCTCGGTTACGCGCAAGAGCGGCCCTTGGCAAGAGTGACCTCTAGTGCGCGGCCAGAGGGGAAGCCCTTCGGGGACACCACCAGGCGCGCAAGCCGCTGCTGTCGCTCTGGCGAAAGGTCACTCTGGCGGAAGGTCACTCTTAGGTGTAGGCGGCACCGACAGCGAACCCTGCTCAAAATGAACAGGAACAGGAGGAAGAGGAGAAAGACGAGGAGGAAGCAAGGATTGTTTGGATTGCATCTCTGATTCAATCGCTGGCTGGTCAGACTGAGGGCGGCAGGACAGCGAGGATGGAGGGAGGAGACGGAAGAGGTATGAAGACGAGGAGGAGAAGGTCACGACGACGACGACGACGACGAGGGAGAGGAGCGATTCGTATCCGTTCTTCCTAGACCTATTTCGATCGCCAAGATCGAGACCCGAAGACCCTGGCGCGGGAGGCCCGGCGGAGGAGACCGGAGGCCGCGTGGACCTTCGGTGAGGACGCCCAGCCGAGCACCGGAGCACCACGTCTAGCCGGCCGCCGCCACTCTGGGCACGGCGCCCCGAGCCGAAAAGATCGTGCCCACGGAAATCGTCCCTCCCTCCTCCTCCTCCTCCTCCTCCTCCTCCTTCTCCCCCTCCTCCTTCTCCTCCTCCTCCTCCTTCTCCTCCTCCTCCTCCTCCTCCTCCTCCTCCTCCTCCTCCTCCCCCTCCTCCTTCATCCTCTCCCAGGGCACAGGACGGGCCGGGTCAGCTCCAGGGCCGGCGAATAGGTCGGCGTCCCCAGGGCCTTCTCCATCTTGGGGTACACCACTCTGGGCCGGTAGCCGAAGTGGTGCAGGTGCCTAAAGGGGAACGGGAACTGTAATGGGATGAATGACGCAGTCATTGAGGTGAGAAGGAGGAGGAGAAGGAGGAGTGACACAGGCGCCGAGAACGTCCTGGAACCGCCCTC